CATTAATAGGCAATCGTTCGATGGGCTGAATTGCACAAAACGCATGATTGCACCGGTTAGTCTGGTACGCGTTGCTATTTATTTTCCTTCAGTACTAGCACAAATTGTTACCCCCGCGTTTCAGATGAATATGATTGTAATTGATCTGAAATCGGATGCTTTGAAAGAACGTCACTGGAAGCAATTGATGAAAGAATTGCATGTTACATGGACTTTATCGGATTTGACATTGGGTCAAGTTTGGGAAGCCAATCTTCTCCGTTATGAATCGGTGATCAAACAGGTTTTATCAGTAGCCCAGGGCGAATTGGCGCTAGAAGAGTTTTTGAAACAGGTACGTTTTTTTGACACTTAAGACCAATCCTTCTATTCTACTATTTTTTTTATAAATGATTTTTGAATTTTTTCGTCGATAATTTTCACACGTTTTTGTCTGGTAGCTTTGCAGAATAGCTTGCTACATACGCCCACTCGGCTTACTTCAATCTGGCTAATTAACTTAGAAATTATTGCTTCTTTGTATGGATAAATTTCAATAGTACAGGACTTATTTAGCTAAGCCATCGTATTACGGGTAATATCGATGTTAAGGGCTCTGTGTAGTTTGATTTGTTTTCAGAACGAAAGAACGAGTTACGGTTAAAAATTTATTGAAATATCGAAAACTATACGCTGGAAGTTTGAGTTTTTGAGCAATTTTTATGAAATTTGAGTTTTTTTTTTTTTTTCATTTAAATGACCAGTTTTAGGAAAAGCTGAATTTCCTGTTCAGGTTCGTGAATACTGGCAATCATTCGAAGTGGATCTGGTGAATTATCAAAACAAAACAAAGCTGATTCGTGGTTGGGATGATCTGTTCAATAAACTGAAGGAACACATGAATTCTCTTACAGCAATGAAACTTTCTCCTTACTACAAGCAGTTTGAAGAGGTAAGTTCTGTTGTGGAATTTTTTTTCGTTGAAAGGGAAAATTTAGCGCTGAAAAGCCACCGGTGAATGGAAAAATTTACTTCTCCGGTGTTAGAAGAATGCGACGACAATCTTTTGATCTAGAAAGGTAAAAAAGTCTTCTGCTGAATCAGGGGAGAAAGAAGCAGAGCAATGAAAAACAGTTTGCTTGAAATATCTGATCGATCCAAGTGGCCAGAATAGAAGAGACTGGTTTGGTGACCGTTGGGCGACCGAGTGAATTAATTGCATTTTTCATTTTTTTCAAAAAGCGAGCATTTACCGAAACGACCAAGCTACATGCAAAAAACTGATAATCATGTACCTTGTGGTCCATACGGCTCTGTAATGCAACACTTCCACCCCTCAGTTGTGCAGCAGAATTTTTGGATTTTTACATTTTTCCAGGATGCGTTGAATTAATTGCATTTGTCATTTTTTTCAGAAAGCGAGCATTTACCGAAACGAGCGAGCTACATGCAAAAAATTGATAATCTTGTACCTTGAGATCCATATGGCTCTGTAATGCACCACTTTCACCTCTCAGTTGTGCAACAGAATTTTTGGATTTCTACATTTTTTCAGGATGCGTTGAATTAATTGCATTTGTCATTTTTTCCAAAAACCGAACATTTACCGAAACGGCCGAGCTACATGCAAAAAACTGATAATCATGTACCTTGAGGTCCTTGCGGCTCTGTAATGCACCACTTTCACCCCTCAGTTGTGCAACAGAATTTTTGGATTTCTACATTTTTCCAGGATGCGTTGAATTAATTGCATTTGTCATTTTTTTCAGAAAGCGAGCATTTACCGAAACGAGCGAGCTACATGCAAAAAATTGATAATCTTGTACCTTGAGATCCATATGGCTCTGTAATGCACCACTTTCACCTCTCAGTTGTGCAACAGAATTTTTGGATTTCTACATTTTTTCAGGATGCGTTGGCTTGGGAAGAGAAGCTTAATAAAATCAGTGCTTTGTTTGATGTTTGGATTGATGTGCAACGCCGTTGGGTTTACTTGGAAGGGCTGTTCACGGCATCAGCTGATATCAGTACGCTTCTGCCAGTGGAATCATCTCGATTTGCGAGGTGTGTTTTATGAAACGAGGTTTTTTTGCTAGGCCTGTATATGTGAAATGGCCAGTGATATATGTTTATGTTAGGCATAGGCAATCTTTGGCAACACATGGACTTGATTTACATATTTTTTTGAGTTCGCGGGCCACCTTTTATTAAAGCCCAGGTAGCAATGCATCAGTCTTGCCGATGGGACCATGCGTTTTTGCGCTAAACTTGATGCGGTCAGATCGTTAACAGTATGAATGGTTCTTGCTTTACAGTTGAATACGTGCAGCTCGTATGCCTGTGTTTTGGTCTTTTCTTGCATGTGGGGAAAAAAGGGCTGCCCTGGTGCGCCCCATTATTTATTTTCATGAGAATGCAGGGGCTTGATGCAGTACGAAGTATTCTGGAAATTTTTTTGAAAAATTTTGAAAAATGTAAACTATGGATGTATGTTTGGCGCTGTAGGTCAGCCAGTGAAAGGGACACAGTCGAATATTGTCAGTTGTGGGAAAGCACCAGCGGTGCTAATTCAGATACCCAGATAAGCGAGCCTGTATGTACACTAGCTGTTGTCCGGTCGGTGTTTCATCCCTAATCGTCTAGTTAGGTACCACGTTCCGATTGCCATCGCGGACCGGATTAAAACCATTCACGGCCCGCCGGTTGCCCATCTATGGTTTATGTGGTGGATTTATCACTTACAAGTGTGCTTTACCGAGTAATGCGGTCGGAAAGATATGTCCTGTTGGTGATTTTTCTATTGATATGAGTTACTGCGGTAGATTTGTTAGTGTATATTTGTCCAGTGGTTTTGCCTGCTTTGAAGGAATGTTCGAATAATTCTGTTGTTGAGTAAATGTGGGATGGATGTGGTGGTCGTTGTGGCTCGAGGTACACAGGGAAGCGTTGACTGGATGTTAAAAAGGACAGAAAGCAGCAATCATAATAACGGTTATGCCAGCCTAACCATAGGTTGATGAAAAATGATGAGCTCTGCCAATGTCCCGTGAGGTCCAGTCGATGAAGGTAACGACGCGGAGAGTCCAGTTGAAGACAGACGTGTAGAACCAATTGGAATCGAGACCGGGAACAGGACGAGGACCAGAAACTGGAACCGGGACCAGGACCCAGAGTAAGGGAAATGGGGATTTATATGGAGCCTAAAAGATCCACTCCGGAAGTGAAGGAATGTCCCTCCATCCCGGTGATGAAGTCCCAAAAGGTGCCAGACAGGCGCGTTAGAAAATTGTTGACCAAAAAAAGGATGGAATTGGAAGGAATGTGAAGGTTGTTGAATAAGACTAAGATGGGTAGGGGGATAGGATTACTCTGAGTCATGAGAAGGAGGAAATAGAAACAGCATAAAAACTATATATAGTATATTTGCACCTATTTATAGTTGTATGTCTGGATGATTCAGCTGCGGTATAATCATCTGTCTCGATAGTACGGGATTAGTAATTTCCTCTGTTGATGCATATGCATTTGTATCGTTATTTTAAATAGGTATTTTTTTTATTTGCAGTATTTCCACAGAATTTTTGGCATTGATGAAAAAAGTAACAGCAGCGCCACGAATCCTGGATATCGTAAACATGCAAGGAGCGCAACGAGTGCTGGAACGTTTGGCTGATATGCTTGCGAAAATTCAAAAAGCATTGGGTGAATACTTGGAACGTGAACGTAGCTCGTTCCCACGCTTCTATTTTGTTGGTGATGAAGATTTACTCGAAATTATGGGCAACAGGTAATCCCCTGACATACTTTTAATTTTTTATTTTTTTGAGTTTTCTTAGATTGAATTTATTTAAAAGTGACGTAGCGCAAGTAGAAGTACGTGTTATAATAAGGGGGAAGATCGTGCGGACGTTGATCCGGTGTCGAACTGGTGCTGGTGTAAAACTGTGTTTATTCTGAGTATAAGCTGCCTTATATAACAAAATGAAAGCTACACTTCCACGATCATACATGCTGACCCGCGGGGTAACAAACAAGGCCCAGACAAAGCCGGGACAACACGAACAAGGAAGTCTGGCGCCGTCACAAAGAACCGGCGATGCTTCTCGGAGCATCTGGGGACCATACGAGCGTCTGATCAGCTCGTAGCACCAAATCTCCATTAATCACCATATTCGAAAAACGGATTTTTTGATCTTCAAATATTGCCGACGTTTTTAAATTCTAGGGACCATCTCTCGCCCCTTACATAAGTATAGGATTTAAACGGTGGTTACTGCGAAGAAGACGAGCAAAATTCTGTCGAGCCTAGTCATTTTAAGCAGCCAATTTCGGACCAACCAATTCATGATGGGATTGTTCGATGCCTGGAAAATTTTAGTTACTTTTCATTATTTTTCTGATTATCTTTGATTTACGTCTTGTTATTTTACATGGTTTTTTTCAGCAAGGATATTGCTCGAATACAGAAACATTTGAAGAAAATGTTCGCCGGTATTACAGCAATTGATGTTGTGGATGAAAACACACTTGTTACAGCGATTAACAGTCGTGAAGGGGAACGTGTAGAACTCGTAAAACCCGTCAGTATCAAAGTAAGTGAGCGTAGCTATTTTTCTGAATTAGAAAAAAATTGTTTGGATAATTGATGGGATGAAATAGAATGTAAAATGATAGGGAAGGAATAACCAAAAAATATGTAGGCGTAAGGTAACAGTAAATAGCAACGCGCACCAGACTTGCCGGTGCGATCATGCGTTTTGTGCAATTCAGCCCACCGAACGATTGCCTATTAATGATTTTCACTGCTTTGTACTTTAGTTTATGCAAAAACAGTTCAAACATTGGAAAACAGTTAAAAATTTCACGCACCAGCGCATG